AGCTGAAGTTGGAAATGGAAAATGTTAATTAGTAGGAGATAATGAAGATATCAATTCTAAAGTTATAGATTTGTTAGAGGATTCCCTAACTTATTATTTAAAAGGATTTTCATTAATACATAATATTGATAAAATTTCATAGATTATTCCTGATCCAAAATCAATAACTTAATTAAAGAAAAATCAAGAGTTAACTTTACAAATTTTATTTTCAAAGAAACAGAAAAAAGAAAATTTAGAATTCAAAATTAATTGTTTTGATCCATAAATGAATAAATAAATTTCATATGAAGTAAAAATGAATCTTAATAGTTCCAAAGAGAATGAATATTTTCATAAAATAGCTGCTCATAGACTAATAAGGTATTATGAAAAATCAATTTCCTAATAAGCTAAACAAATGGATATGGTTATGATCAATGAAAAATGCATAAAAGATTTGGATATTATAAATTTATCATTATAAAATCAAATACTATGTTCTAAAACAGCATTTATTTGTGAAGTATGCTAAAATGAATAAAATCTTTAAGCACTGATTAAGAAAAAACTTACAATTAACAAAAGTTATGAGGAAAATAATGAGGAAGAGGAAGATGAAGATGAAGATGAAGATGAAGATTAAGATATTCCAAAAAGTACTAATAAAGGAATGAAAATTTTTCTGAAGAAAAAAAATATACAAACCTCTCATAAAATGAATTAATTACCAAACCGATAAATACTGAAGTGTTGCTTCTAAAATTCAAGTTTAAAATCAAAATGTTAAAAAGTGGCAGTAGAAGAAGATTCTAATGATTTGATGTTCGAATCAAATTCCTAAAAAATGGGAGAAGATGAAGATTTGATGTTCGAATCAAATTCCTAAAAAATGGCAGAAGAAGAAGATTCTGAAGATTTGAAGTTTTAATCAAAATGCAAAAAAAGGGTAGAAGAAGAAGATTCAGAAAAAAACTTCAGTTTATCCGAATCTTAAAAATAACCCAAAAAATTGCTTCCTAAATAAAGTATCCTATGTGCTCCAAAGCCAAAAGTACTTTAAGAGGATTAGCAAATGTTAGCATATTTTGAACTAATTGACTGCATGTAAGCAAATGGTAGCTTCCTCTTAGAAATACATATTGAAGATTCAATAAAGTTTAGCAAAATAGAAAATAAATATCATTTAGAAGATTTATGTTGGCCAACAGTGGTTTCTCTTTTTTATTTGGAATTATTTTGTCAGGATTCAAAGAGTTCCTGGTAATTAATTTATAATAAAGCCATAAATTATTTACAAAAGAAAGGAGTTAATTATTTTTAGATTAAAACAGAATGCATTTCAGATTATAGAAAACTTTTTTAGAATTGAAAAATTGATTCTATAAAATTAAATGCTTTCAAAAATATATAAATTAATTAATATCCATTTTATCTTCTTATTATTTCTTTAATCTATTATTCAATTTAGCTTGCATAATTGAATCAAATAGATTAAAGTGTAATTATCAAATAGGTTAATTGATTTCGTTTTGATGTAATTATAATTAAGATAAGAGGAATAAATTAGAGATAAATGTAAACAAATTCAATTCGTTTTAATCTAAATTTATTGATTAAAACAAACTTTTAGATGTATTGATTGTATTAATATATTTGAAAATCTTATAAAGATCTATAGCAGTAAATGAGTATATATTTTCTTAACTATTCTTAATTATTAAATAAAATACTATTTAAATCTTACTTTTTTAAGGAACGTTGTTTTTATTAAATTGGTTGCTTAGAGGCGATTAAAAATAAACTAAAAATAATTTTAGATGAATTCATATTTAATTTATATATTTAATTCTGATTAATCATATTTTAAATTTACAATGGCCCATTTTAATTAGAGGAATATTTGGGATTAAAAAAATAGATTTAAGTGTTAATTTTCTAATATTTTCGTAGTATTCTATCTAATTATATTAAGTAAATTGATTATAAATATAGTATTACAACTTTTCATGGATTGGGGAAGATGTAGTTTACATAATTAATGAATTAAATATTGGAAAATGATAACAGTAAACTTAAATTTGAAAATCTAGCCAAATCAAATTCTTCATCCAACCCAAATTTATTGTTGATGATAGAATCAAAAATATCATAATGTTTGTTTTATTTATGATCTATTCAATAACATATAAATATTTGAAATTTAAAAGATATGAATTTATTTCTTGTTATTTTTTACTTGTAGGATGGATTAAAATTATATGATCATATATCAAAATACAGTGTGGGGATAATGAATAATTCATATTATCAATCGATAGCTGAAATTAATTGGCTATCTTCCAAATGGGAATCCTGCTTCATTTACTATATATAACTAATTTTCTATTCCATCATAAATATAAATACTTAATCCGAAAAACTTAGATATTCTTATAATTCAAAAAAAGGAGTGGATCAAAGTGGAAATCATAATTATTTGGATTAACAAATAAGAAATGATTATAGATCTTTTCCAAATCATTAATACTTTTAGAGATTATTCAATATTACTTATCAACTACTTATTCTTAATTGATTAATTAAATATTTCCTTAGTTTTTATAAATTAATCTCAAAATATACTTTAATTTAAAATTTTTGTATTCTACTCTTAATTTTTGTCAATGTATTTGAAACTACAATTATTTTTAGAATCATAATGTTTTTAAGATCCCCATAAATAAAAATTGAAAAATCAAGCAAAAACTAATTTATCATTAACTTTTTAACATATTCTCTTTATATCAAAATTATTTGAAAATAAATTTGAAAACTCAATATTTGATTTCAAAAATACATCTGTTAATATGTGGTATTTTATTTATCAGTTCTTTTAAACATAATCATTTTATAATCTATTTAAAAGTATAATTATTTATTTAGAATCTATGAAAATAGACAAAATAAGAAAAATAAATGAAGTTTGATTTATATTAATTAATTTTCATTTTATTTTTATCTTTGAATCATTATATTAAACAATTACGTGAACATAATGAACTAGGATTTGATACTATTTAACCTTTTTAAATTGTATTTCTCTATTGTTGCTATTAAGCTTAATTTTATTATTTACCTTTAATTCAACATTATAAACTTTTGTACTATATCTAGTAATTTTTCAGAAGTGCTTTCAATCATAGCATCTCTATTCATTTAATATAATTCTGAAGAAATTTGCTGCATTACCTACAAGTAATAATATAAATTCCAAAACAATGCTTTGTAATAAATAAATTGAGTTTTATTTTCTGCTTTTTAAAGAAATTTCATAGATTCTTATATTTGAAAGCTATCCTATTCTTTCATATATTTATTATATCTTTTAAATTACTTATTCTTTTATTGTATTAACTTACAATTTCTTATAATAGAACTAATTATATTATTATTTAATCTATTTCAGATCTTCTTTAGTCAATTACAATGAATCTAACTCTTCTTGTTTTTCTTATGGCTATTTTAAATCTGTCTATGTAATTAATTAAACTGTTAATTTTCTTTCTAATATAATGAATTTATTCTTCACATGGTTTAAATTCGGGTTCTTTTGTTCAAATTGATTATGTAATTTTGTAAATATTTTATCTTAAAAAAATTATTTCATCTTAAATTTCTTTTAAAAAAGATACTTTTTTTTTAATTAATTATATATTCTCCTCTGAAAAATTCCATTTTTTACTCTTCTACTGAGTGATTTAGTCTAATTATGCAAGTGCTTTTTTATAATAATTCAATGATTGATTATAATATGACCTAAAATAATAAAGATCAGCTAAATTCACCATTATAAGTGGATTGTCTAATTCTAATTTAAGTGCTTAAATACAATCTTAAAAGGCCTTGTCATATTAGCCATTTACTTTATACAAATTTACTTTTTTTTAATTATAATTGAAATTACCTCTGTTGTTATAGGCTTTAGCATCATTTGAGTTCAATTCAATTGTTTTAGTATAATCTTTAAATGCTAAATCAAATTTCCTCATACCTCTATAAAACAATCCTATTTAGTTCAACTTCTTGATTACCTCTGTTAAAATAATTTATAGCATCTTTAGGATCAAATTAATAGCTTTGTTATGATCGATTATGGCTTAATCTTTAATTTCTAAGCTTAAATGCAATAATGCTATAATAACCTAAACCCTAATTACCTCTTGAACTTTAAATTTAAGCAATATTAGGATCTAATTCAATTGCTTTGTTATAATCTTCAAGAGCTTTCATTTTTTTTCCATTATTTTAATAGAGCATTCCTATATATTCTAACACTCTATGACCTCTGCTATTATATGTATAATCATCATTAGAATTCAATTCAATTGATTTGTTATAATTGATAAGTGCAATGTCTGTGTTTCCGATTAGGCCTATTTCATTCTACTAATTTTAAAACTTCTATTATTATATGCTTTAGATTTATTGGAATCTAATTCCATCGCTATATCATAATCTACGAGTGCCTATTGTTCATTATCTATGTCTTCATAGAGATTTCTAATAAAAAATAATACCTTATTTGCCTCTATCGAAATAAAAATCAGAACAATTAGGATCTACTTCAATTCTCTTGTTAAAGTCTATAAGTGCCTAATTAGTATTTCAAATTTTTTACAAATACAAGCCACATTAGGGTCTAATTCAATCTAAAAGTGCCTCCTCTTAATTTCCTATTTGATCTAAAAAATTTCCTATTCATTAAATAACCCGAGAACCTCTGCTCATGTATGCAAAAGTATATTATGTATCCAACTCAATAGCCTTTTATAATCTAAAAATGTCTCATTTTTATTTCCTTACTCTAAAACAACTAAATGAATATAATTTAAAATAAATCCTATTTATTTATCATTAATCTCTTAAACTACTATAACCAAATATCTTAGAAAAAAATTAATAATGAGAGATTCACAATTAATATATTAAAATTATAATAATTCCTAAGAAGATTCATATATTATTATCCAGCTAAGATTAAGAATTCAACCTAGAATATTTCAATATGATTATCTCTATCGATTATTAAATTCATTAGATTGTTTTAGAGTTGCCATAATTTTTGATAAGTTATTTGATTAATAAAATTTAATAGATTTTCTGAAGAAAAATATTAAAGAAAAGTTAATTAATAATATATATGTATTAAAGATGATTATTATAAATATACCATAATAATGTAGAATTTGAAATATTTACATAAACTATGTAATTATGCAATTAATAATAGAATTATCCTATTATATTTTACTTCATTCTGGTGGTTTTTCTCTTCTTCATCAAATACTGACGAATTAACTTCTTCATAATCTGCTAATTCCTCTCAGGCTTCGCAAAATTAGATTTCCTCCATCCCTCAGTTAATATTTTAAATGGCCTAAAAAAATTCTATTTTTTGGTTTTTGTTTGACTTAGGCTTAATAGCCTCAAAACAATAAACTTACATTCTTAGAGGATTCCAATCTATAAACAATTAATTTACATTGAATAAATAAATTTATTGACATCAAAATTATGAGACAAGAAATTTAATCAAGTCAAAATTACTTTTTCAAAATGGTAATATTATCAATCTCCTAAGATAGAACTGCTTTAATAAAATCTTATAATGTATAAGAGTTTGCAGATTTTTTCATTCTTTTAGAAAACTAAGCCCATTTATGAAATTGTTAATAAGATTCTTGATATTGAATATTCAAGGTGTACCAATTTAAAAAGACTTACAGCATACTATATTGTGTCACATCATCAAAAATTGAAAGTGATTTTTTATACTTTATTAAATTTGATTATAATATTTTATTTATTTTTTCTTTGAATTTATTAATCCTTATAATCTATTATTGAATGTAATTCAAACAAAAAATATTGATTATAGTGATTTGGTTAGATTATCAATGATATGGGTTTAGGTCGGGCAAAGTGGTTGTTTAATTTATATTTAATTACTTTATAGATGAAAGAAAGAGGAGTTCATTAAGAGCATTAAACTAAGACTTTAAAAGTTTCACTCTAATTGTATAATACCTAAAAAGTTTTGGATGTAAATCAGGAGAAATAAAGTGATTAAATATTATAAATTCAATATAAGAATCATAAATATGGATTTATCTACGCATAAAATGATAAAATAAAATATTAAGAAAGAATTAAAGTTTGCAAAATTTTATTATACTTTTTAAATTCTCATCATATCAATTTTTATTGTGTTTTCAATTTGCTCATCATAATACATCTCTAGATATTGATAAAAAAATGAAGTTTTGGCTCTTATAAACTTCAATTTGAATTTTTTTAGTTTATTGAGATTAAAAATATTTAATTTCTATAAAAAGGGGAAAATACTCCTGTAAAGTTTTTCTTATTCTGAAAAGAATAGGAAGGAAATATAGTTGAAAAGAAAAGTGGTATTTATTATGAACTAACTTTTCTAAGGTTTTTTTTTAACTTTTATTTATCCTTTGTAATAAGAAAGACAACATAATACTTATTTCATAAATCCAATATTTTTTACTAGTTTATGAAAAAGCTAAATGTTATAACATCTTTTGTTATTTAACCATAAATCTAATTAATAATTTTTTCATTTTATTAATTATTTTAAACAAACTGGAACTTTTTAGTTTGTAGATAAATCAAATATTTATGTCAAATAAGTAATGAGTTTTGCGTTTGTTGAAGTTGGGATTTCTAAAAATTTAATGCCTTTAATTCGAAGATTTAAAAAACAATTTTCTTTTATGATAAATTTCTACCTAAATATAATTCTTTTTGGATTTAATTTTTTTCCATACTTGATTTAAGATATTGTATGATGCTTTGAATTAAAAAAATATAAAATCTAATTTATATTAATATCCTATTGATCTAATACTTTATCCTCCAGTAAACTATAACAACATATATATACTTTTTTAAATTTGATTCATTCTTTACCAAATGATAATATATATTATTACCCTAAAATGAAACTAAACTAGTTCAGAAAAATGTAATTTTTTACTATTTGGACAAACAATTGCTATTATTTATGAAATCTAAACATTAGATCAATTGCTAGATATAAAATTTTTGTTTGCAATCAGAATTTGCAGTTTTCACTCCAAAAGCCTCACCATGAATGTTTGAATTAGAAAGATGAACAAAGGAAGTGAAATTTGAGAATTCTAATTTATTAAGGTGTACCTGTCATACCTTTCTGTACTATTTTATAATATGAATTCAACAATATTTTAGTAGTATGTTTAATTCATATCTGATAATTTGAATATTGGTGCTATTCTAAATAATTAGCCTGTATGTATTTTTTTTAACTCTTTAAGAAATAATGGCCTTACGGTATAAACGATAGATTTAATATTTTTACTTTTATTTAAGAGAAGTGAAACTTATAATTTTTGATTTAAGCTAACCATTGGTTTCTTTAGATGTCATAAAGTTGTATAAACTATAAATCTAAAGCAAAATAGAATATGTTATTTAGCAAAACTATAAGATAAATAATGGTGTTTATGATTCAGGCTATTTAATTTACTATAGAAAAATTATTGTAATTGAATAAAATATTTACATATTATTAGTATTTTTTTGCACATGTTTTTAAAGAATAAATACCAAATTATCCTTAAATCTTTTTTGCTCATCTTCCAAGCCCAAATAAATCATTTTATTCTAACTGTTCTCATATAAATTGACTCCCTGAATTATAATTTATTCCTATCATTTGCAATAAATTGAGCTTTGAAATATGAATTTAACAGATATTTATTTACTCTTTTTAAAGATTTTGTCTTAAAACAACAATTAGAAGTGAAGAGATGAAAAAATTGGAAGTTTATAAATGGAATTGATGATTTTTTAAATGATTCTAATAGTCCTATGATTACAATAGTAAAGTTATTAGTTTAAAAAAAGTAAAGTCAATTCATTTACAAAGGGAACATAAAATTTCTTCTTTGGCCAAGACTATCTGCCAATTCTTCCATTTATCTTGCTAGTTTGAAATTACTTGAACAAATTGATTTTCCTAGTTTAATTTTTAGTTTATAGTATTATTAGGTTTTCATTTTATATAAATTAATTTAAAAGTAAAAGAAGGAAAGATTAAAAATTCAATTCTCACAATATATTTAATGACGACTAAAAATAACTTCAAAGAATAAATTTTTAGTAAAAGTTAAAAAGAATCTAATGGATAATTATAGAAGATAGCTTAAACATTTAACGCCAATTCTAGAAAAATAAATTAATCATAATAATAAAGGAGTTTACTGATATTAGTACATATTTTAGAGAGAGTAAGAACAGAAGGAGCTATTCCATGTTTTCTTAAATCGATATTTTTTAAAACATTGCAATTTTGACTCTATGTTCATTATTCATAGAAAGTGAATAATTTTATTTGTATTTACAATAATTAGCTAAAATAAAAATATTGAATTTATAAATAAGAAGAGAATGAAATAATTTGATATTATTAATCAAAATTGTTGTGCCTTATAAAAATTTTCCATACATCTAAATTAAATTAACAAAATAAGTTTTGTATTATTTATTTTTAATTTTTCTACATTATTGATTGATACAGAATTTTTATATTGTTTATGATCAATTGATTTATTTCAAAACCA